CTGGGCGACAGGTGTTTTCCTTAGATGTGGTGTCTCTTTTTACCAATGTTCCATTGGAGGAGATCGTAGACTATCTGTGCGAGTTCATCCAGTTGCGCAACATCAAGGTTGGTATCCCACCAGATCGGCTGAGACAACTGCTACTCATGTGCACGCGAAACATTCAGTTTCAGTTTACTGGAACGATATATCGACAAATAGACGGGGTGGCAATGGGTTCACCATTAGGACCGTTGCTCGCGGACGTCTTCATGAGCAAATTGGAGTGCAACCAGCTGAACGATTCCATCAACAGTGTGGTTTATTACGGTCGATATGTAGACGACATATTTTGTATTGCGGATAATGGAATGTGCGTCGATGATCAATTGGCCCAGTTTAAAACTGCACATAGCAACATAACTTTCACTATCGAGCTAGAACGCAACGACTCGTTGGCATTTTTAGATGTCCAAATCAACAGGGCATCAGACGGGTCAATGCGGAGGAGGGTGCACAGAAAAGCAACCTGGAATGGGCAGTACATCCATTTCGCTGGTTTTGTTCCGATAAGTCAAAAAAGGAACCTTGTCCGTTGCCTAACGGAGAGAGCGAAGAGAATATGTACGGATGATACGCTTTCAGAGGAGCTGAGCTTTATACGAAACGTACTCGAGCGTAATGGGTACCCTGAGAAATTCATCCAAAGGCACATGGAACCGCGAGTACAAAAGCCCAAACCCGTTTCCGCGGAGAAGCGGATGATATACTTATCGTTACCATTTAAGGGTGACGCGATAGCGGAACGGACCACCCGAAGACTTGCCTTAGCAACAGAGAGAACGTATTTTGCCGCTAATCTCCGCGTAAGCTTCACCTCAACACCGATTGTGCGCCAACAACTTAAGGACAGGATACCTCGGTCGCAGACCTCCTTCTGTGTGTACAATTTCTCTTGTTCGTGTCGAGCAAGGTATATTGGGAAAACGACCAGGCGACTGTTCGGTAGGGCTCGAGAGCATTGCCCAGCTTGGCTCTACACCGGCGTGAGGAAGAATGTAACGAGTGCAGTATTGACGCACCTAATTTACTCCGATCATCAAATCAATTCGCGTGACGCATTCACACCGATCTACTGTGTCCCCGGACGTTACACACGGGAAGTCAGATGTCACTTGCTGTCAACAGCAGAGGCGATCGCAATTCGGCTCTATAACCCGGACATTGTGCACAGAAAAAACTCGTCCATACTTTAACCTTGCCTTGGCCTCAGATCAGCGCGACTAACAATGGCAGTCACGCCACATCACTTGACATCGCCTCAATCAGACCAAACACGTAGATTTATCGATTAGTTACTCTGCTTCAGTGACCCAATATAAACCCATTGTGTCTATTCTAGTTTGCATTATTGTGGTTGTTTTAGCCTGGTGATGAAGCCCTGAAAAGAAGTTTGTTCGCTACTTTTTGTTTCTGATTTGCAAATTTTGCGTACAGCGATGAACGCCACCCCATTCCTATGTTATTACAGCCTACTTCTGTGGACAAGTGAAGCTCAGGGGTCCGTCGTGCTTGGTTACACTAGAAAGGAGTGCAGGTGCCGAAAAGTTTGCGAACACCTGTTGGCCGACGGTGTCTGACCAATGAGGAAGCTACTCGTCGGTGCGTGTGTGCACCTTAGCCAAACTTTGAAACGCACCAAGTTGAAAATGCTTATGAACCAAGTTGAAAATGCTTACGAATCAATTTGTTCCCTCTATTAACTAACTTGACTCGGAAATGGTATAGATAGTTGGTTAACTATTTCTCTGATGAAACAACATATGTGACCCAATTTTTGTCACTCCGCTTTATCCTGTCTTGGCCCACACCATCTCCTAACTTTTATCAGAGTTGAACACTCGCAGATTGGTAGGATGAGAAGCCAGATTCTTTTCCGTACATTAGTATCATCTTGCTCTTCAATATTTTATATTCATTTAACCTGGCCTGAATGTTAACCGTGTGTAAGAGTGATCCCTCTCATCTCGGATGGCCGGAGTTTCAGGATTTTCGACCGCCACTACACTCTTGTTTGGCTATCTCCATGAAATACACTTTTACCTCGCTCCATTTCCCACCATGCACCTGTTAAATCTCAGGTTCAGTGATGGGTGGACAGGTAGTTCCTATTTTTTCACAGACTTGCTCTTCCACGCTTAAACTATTATTCGTAAACTACCCTGGTGTAATAAAAGCTAATATCGTTCGGAATAGCCACAGAGGTGATGGCTGGTGAAGTAGCCAAGCCAAAGTATACGTAATAATCCGGAGTATAGTGGCCACTACAAGTCATGACCGCATATTCAACAAATCCCTGAAATAGTAAGATGAACCGATATTTAGTAACGATTAGAATACCGCAACGGCCTGCATGAGGATGAATAACCATACATACTTATCGAGCCTGGCCAAATGATTCATAGCCATCCATACCCAACCTTTGCTCTTATTTATTATCTTATTCTTATTTGCACATCTGTTTCCATAAGCGGTTGCGTATTAACTGTGGACAAGATTCACCTCCGAAGATACATGTAATATAGCCTTAACATTAACTCTTGTGGCCTGTTATCTAGGAGTCCCGGAGCATATGCTCATGTAAGCCAGTAAATGTCCATGCATTTTAGGCGCACATCGATGCAGATTGTACTAATTCTCACTATTGTGCTACACCACACTGTTCAGACTTCGTCTAACAATTTAGGAATTATCATTCACCGTCATCGACGTCCGTTTTCGTATTATAGCTGAGTCACATTGAAATGTTGACATTTACCAAAAGATGCACATTTCCCTCTCATTGTACTTAGCCTCAGTCTGCTGCCCTTAGATTCTTTGTTTCCATTCTGAAGTATTTTTCACATAGAAGAAGGCTTTCGGCATGAGTCCGAGCTTTTAGATATCTCAAGTCAGCTACTAAAGGAATTGCAAAGACGCTTGCCAAACTTTATGTATTCCTTGCAAAATGATGCCTATGTTTTTGGATTAGTCTTTGCCAGGTATTTACATATTAGTTATTTACTGGTAATCAGTTTAAGCTGTTTTTTACCTACCGTGATACTCTCATTCTTTTATTTCCGCCCTGAATCCACTATGAACTGGGACTTCTGAACATGTTTTAATCGACTGATGAAGTTGGATTACGCGTCAGCGGGAGTTAGAAGGACTGACTCGGCCATTAAAGTCCTATATCCGCCTTCTGGTCAGACGGTGCTGATTCAGATCGACGGGACATCAGTTAACGTAAGAGCTAACCCCGGCGCAATCTTCTGCACTTCATCTTGAACAGCGTGCATGTGCGAAACTGTCATGAACATGTCATAATACATATTCCCATCCAATATGTAGAGGGGAGTAAACGAAAAAATCTGTGAATATTTTGATCTTTCCCTATGTTAGAATAGTCGTCTCTCGCATCGCCGAGAAATAAAAGGTTTAGTTATTTATTTGGCATGCAAACCAATCTAAACCGCTTGGCGATTGAGCCATATAAGTAGAGAAGATGCTTCGTTCCGTCGAAATGCAATGTGCTGCTTCCGAATGGGCAGTCGCCCATCCTCGTGATCAGTCTTGAAGGTACACAGATTGAACACCTTGATAGCTTCGTATACCTGGGAAGCTGCGTGTCTGATTGTGGCACTACTGAGAAGGAAATTTCCCTCCGCTTCGATAAAGCTCGGTCGGCGTTTGTCAACCTGAAACACTTGTGGTGTCATCAGGATGTCTCCCACTTGGTAAAGGGTCGCGTTTACAAGGTAACAGTTCGAGAGGTGTTGTTACACGGAAGCGAGTCGTGGCTTGTGGCCTTCGACGATAGATGTTTGAGGAGGACCGCTCGCGTGTGGTTGTAGCAACGTATCTGCAGCAGTGAAGTCAGACGTCGCGTCCTAAGGAATGTGAATATTCCCTTTAATAAGCTGGCATTGCTGCGCCAGTTAAAATGGCTCAATCACGTCCTGTGTATTTCAGCTGTGTTTGCCCATCACAGGAATCGAGAGACTTCACGATGGTCGGGAGTCTACATAGCATCAGCATAGGAAGTCATTGCTGCGGTTGGATCACAAGCCCGTCTGGATGGAAACCAAAGGACGAAGAGTGCAGAGGGCTCGAACTAATTCAGGATAAGGCGCGTAAACGAAACTAGCGGAAGATCAGTGTACATACGGTAAAATCGCTAAAAGTTGACCACCTTTATATCTTGACCACCCCATTAAGTTGATCGTTTTATTTTTCACAGCTTGAACCTTCACCATGTGAACCTTATGGATTCAGACCTATGTAAATTGGCTAGTTCGATCCAATCCCCCTGATTGATCAAATGAAGGAGGTATTACTGTACTTGTTTAGAGTCAGATGCCCACCGTTTAATTTTGGCTTAGCATGAGCAGCAGTTACAGACCATGTCAGCTAAGGGCACCAATTCACCTACCAACTACAGCCTGATGCTTGAAGATAAAGATAAATCGCTTGCCTGCATGCCTGCTGTATAAAACCGCGAGCTAAGAGATTCGGTAGGATAAATTAAGTCTCCTATTCACATCCGAAAGTAACTGCAAAATCAATAGCTGAAACGACACTACAGGGATTCTTCGATGCCGATACTCTTGCCAATTTCATTCTACTGTTGCTGATACGCTTTTGTGGAACAGAGGAGATGTAGATATAGCGGACAAAGGAATCCAAAGGCAGGAAAGTAAGTTGGTTAGACAATATTATGGTAAAGCACCTTCCAACCGGAGTGCATATTGAGGGGAATATGGAAGCAGATCACATGGAGGAGAGCATATCGAAATAATAACACGTCCAATACCCTGAATGATCCCACTGGTAGATGAGTTCCACGATGAAGCGCAGCAAAGTCATTTACTACACTGCGTAGCGCTACCACGCAACCAAAGGACATCGTGTCCTAAAAACAACCAGTAAATGGCCAGTTTTGGCTACGTGGTGTAAACACAGCTAAGGAGCACGATACGTACTTTTCGAAGGTCGGAGGAGGGTGAATATATTGTGCTGAGCACGAGTGAGAAAATCCGAAACTTGATGATGAAAAAATGGTTGCATTTGCCTGATATATTCCTGCGGAAGGATAGAAAATCGTGGGACAGTGTGAACAAGCAAGCAACAAGATGTGATCATATACATCCCCAAGCTAGAGACGGTTAGCTAACGATAAGGCAGCATCTCCGAAGTGAAAGAAAAGCAATCGCTAAGCAGAGTAAGTGGAACTAATGGGCAGTGAGTGGAACAAAACAAATCAAGAAAGTGACAAAAACCAAAACTGAACGCTTCCGCTAATAGGTTTGGGATGTGACAAAGTCGGACCACAGTTAACTTACACAAAGTACTATATAGTCATCTCAACCTTACGGGGCATTTGTTGTATATTTCTCGACTGTGCGAGATAAGGTCCAAATAGTTGGTTGGATCAATAGGTTCAACAGGATTGCAAAGGATATATAGTTGCACAAGTTTTCCAAAGTGGTTCCCAGATAGGCTCTCAGGGTGGTCTATCAGTTAAAAATGTCAGAAAAACGGAGAAGTTGAGAGTAAAATGAAAGTGGTTATTGCAAAACGCTTAACTGATTAATACAACTACCCGTGGAACCGTCTACTGGGGATCAGCTTCCATGTGGGGTGGTCCCTAAAAGTTTTATCCGCACTTCCACGACCGATCTGACCTTGTAGCAGTGTGGCATAGGAGCAAGTAAGCTATCACCGGGGTAGAATGCTGGTTATAGGAGAGCCGTATGGGACCTGCATGGTTTTAGAACAGCGTCATCCGCAACTCAGAGTGACAGTAGCAGTTTTTCCCGATTTCTAGCGTGCATTCGTCGCAGCTGATCGATCCGTCATTTTCAACATACTTGGCCCGAAAGGTGCACCCACAAAATATAACAGCATTCAACGTGACTTGCACTTGGACACCAAGGACCAGTCGGTGTTTACCGTGACTTGTCGGGTGCTTTCTCAATAACAAGTTGCGTTCAACAGGGTCATCAAAGTTCCTCAATATGTTCAATTTAATCATGAACAATGCTTGATCAAGGGTTAAAAGCACGTGCTTAGTAACACGTCCCGTAGAATGGTTGAGGTGAATACAATGAAGTTAAAAGTATATGAGTCATCTATCGAGCGTCTACCAAGATAAAAGCGTTGATAAATAACGTTAGTGGAAACTAAAAATCGAATGCAAGCATACAGAAATACACGGGATGCAGTGATCGCTTACGTAAACCGTGAGAAATATGCGCCATCTCATTGGGTCGATGTGGCACATGAATCCGGTGGAAGGGCATGATTAATTCAATCCACAATTGCGTAATTTAGATAACGAACTGCTGGAAGCTAAGAGTAACACCCAACCGTCTTTCGAAAATGTCCAAAGTAGAGGAGGATACAAGTGAGTATGGGAGTTCCAGAGTTAACAAACCAGAAGGGAAAAGTAATCTTCGATACTTTATACCATTTCTGAGTCACGTTAGGCCATAGCAGAATCAATTTAGGCCATAAAGATTTCGATTTTTACCGTTACTAATTTCAAGCTGATCCATTCCACACGTCGGCCTACGTGTACTGTTCACTCAGTGGCAAATAGTTACCTCTGAACTTGGTGTTATGGCTAAGTTTCAGCAAATGGCCGCATACGTGGTTGTGGTCACGCAATATTTCGTAAACTAATATGAGATCGCCGCGCAGCCTTCGGTAGCGTCCGCTGAAAACTTGCCAGTCACTTCAGCTTTCGCTGATATGAGTGATTGCGTAAACCCTTGGTATTCTTTGTTGCTCTTCGTTGTGGTGCCTCCAACGCATCTAGATCGCGATTCAACCAAGGTCGCCAAGCTTGGATAGCGTATTCAACGTGCGAGCGCACGTAGGAATTGTGCATCATTGAGAAAATTGATGGATTAAATCTCTCGAATGCTCTCTGGAGCAGGCCGATGTGCTGGTTGCCCTTTTCACAGCTTCCTCAGCCTTTATTGAACAGTCCACATCACTCTGTACGAGCATACCAAGGTCACGTTCCTGTGAGCTGGTCTGCAATCCGTGTGCCCCAAGCAAATACGTGCAGTCATGTCTATGGCGCAATTGAACAACGCGACATTTGTCTACACTGAGTGGTAGGACATTCTGAACTGACAAGTTAGACATCGTGTTAAGACCACATTGGAGCTCTTCGTGGTCGTCCTATCCTCTGATCGCTCGCCGTAGCTTGATATCATTGAGGTAAATCGTGATTTGTTTTGATTCGCTACTACTGAACAGCATCAAGTTGGGTTACGAATCTGTCCCCGGGTATACGCGTTACCCGCACACCAAGTGGTTTACTGTTGTTACGCCCAAATGGATTCAGGAGCAGGACTATAGAACAATGGAAGTATATCATAAGGTAGATAACACAAGCGATGTGCACAAGCTGTCGGCAAAGATTAGCTGAGCGTTGTGGTCAGTAGGTGCTGGATCAGGCAGATGAGACCAGCGGCCAATGAGAGGGGTGCATGCATTGGCGAGGTTGGTGCACAAGTGTGCACGCACAGCACACGCCGACTGAGGTCATATCGAATGTTTACAAACAAGTTCCACTATCGTGGTGCAAGCGCCAATACTAAATCGCCAACAGGATTACATAAAATGAAATTCGTGGAGCCAATCTTTCGTCGAGATCAATGTTCGCAGTGGCTAATGGGATAAAGAAAGAGAAAAAAGATCTATTTCCCAAGGCAGTTTGGTATGAGCCCTAATATATCCAAATGAGAGGAATGTGTAATACGCCATTCTGTTGCTCACCTGTTTCAACTCGGTATAAATGTCTTTCCTATTCTTTTTCATCCACCCACCAATGAGAAGAGATAACTGTACTAATTCGTCCCGTTGAGCCATGTAAAGCTCTGGAGCGGCCCGAATCGACGAATTTCGGTTGCTGTTGCGGGACCCACCGGACTGACCGAGTCCATCTAAATCCGCTGCCGAACCAAAATTGACTCCAGTGACAAACCTCAATTGTCTCGAAAAGCCAACAACAGTGTTGTTCACCTTTTTTGCGAGCTCGGTGGCGAAAGAGTCACGAATTCGAAGCAGCTCTCTTGTTTTCTCATCTACGGCACGTAAGTGCTCCTCACCTTAAATAGTAAAGCAGAGAGAAGGACAAGTTCCGTTGGGGCTCATTACAAAACAGTTTGTGTCACCAGAAGTCAACGTGGAGGGTATTCAGCAGAAGAAATTACCAGACAATTATTACATAGGGCGCTATTTGGAGATATATGAAAATGAACCTGTCGTGCATATGTATATACCAAAACGGGTCACTGGTGAAACAGATAACCATGGATATCTCCACAACAGCGACAAAAGGCACGCAGCATGCGCGAAGCAACGATTTGGCCAATGATTTATTGCGGATAAAAAGCCGAAGCTTATCGTGTCCCGCAGAATGGTAAGTGGGGGCTTTCAGAAGCAAAGGAATAACAAATATAAACAGCTAAACCGAAAACAGTGAACTTGCAGAGGAAAATGTTGTCCATCTGATTCGTTCACAAATGGTTTTATGCAATTCGAAATGTCACTGACTATGGTTTTCCCAGCTAAGCGAGTGTGGGTTGATGCGATTTGGATTTCTGAATACACATGTGGTTCATGTGTTGTATGACGTGGTGAACCGAAAACAGTGCACTGTCGACACTTTGAACACTGGTAATGCAGGGGCTGAAATGACAGCTTTCGAGAGTGAATTCCATAGGTGGTAAAAATGCAGCGAGAAGAAATTCCGTCCACACTCCAGCCGGCTGTATTGTCCTACCAGTTTGAGATGGTGGCATCTCTGTTGTTATGGCTGAGCATTAGCAGCTGACAGCAAGAGTGATCAGTGTAGCCTAAAATGTGATAAACCATGATAAGGTCGCCACACAAACGCCGATAGCGTCAACTGAAAACTCCAGGAATACGCAGGCACTGTTCGGCGTTTTGGCGACCCGAGGTTGTGGAAGCCCTAAGCCAGTGAGATCCCGGTTCAGCCATGGTTGTCGTGCTCCAATCACATATTTCACGTTCGGGCGAATGTATGCGGCTGGGTAACACAGATGAGTCGAAGTGACCAAAAGCTCAATTTGAGTCCCTTATGTTCTAGATGCCCTCTTCTAATGATTGTGCATTTATCCGAGCATCCAAAAGCTTAAAGGAAGAGTACACCGAGCTTTTTCCACGAACACAACGCTGAAGATCCTGGTCACCATTTGATGTAAATGAAGTACACGACATTTAGTCAAGTTGAACTGAAAACGATTGTGGACTGACTATGCATGAATCGTGTTCAGATTGTTTAGAAGTTGTGTGCGGTAGCTTTGATCTGCCACCAAACTTTGATGTCATCGGCGTAAAGCAAACAGTGTAAAGTGCATAAGCTCGCGATGGGGGTATTGAAAACCGCGTATGGACATTCTTTTATTTGCGCCCTGAATCCACTATGAACTGGGACTTCTGAACATGTTTTAATCGACTGATGAAGTTGGATTACGCGTCAGCGAGAGTTAGAAGGACTGACTCGGCCATTAAAGTCCTATTTCCGTCTTCTAGTCAGACGGTGCTGGTTCAGATCGACAGGACATCAGTTAACCTAGGAGATAACCCCGGCACAATCTGCTGCACTTCACACTGGACAGCGTGCATGCGTGGAACTGACATGGATATAACATAATAATACATATTCCCATCTAATATGTAGAGGGGACTAAATGAAAAAACATGTAAATAGATTGAACTTCCCATATGTGGAAATAGCCTCACGCATCGTCGAGAAATAAAAAAATTATTTATTTATTTATGGTCACACTAGTTTAACCGGTCGGATGCCTTAGAGAAATCGACATAGACAAGGTAAACTCCTACACCAACATCCACTGTTCTGCTGCAACTGTCCCGTGCTAACATTAGATTGGCAATCTACGATCTGTTCCGGCTGGAGCTATGTTACTGTTGCGCGAAGTAACCGAGTTTGTAAAAGTAAAATATGGGCGCGTCAGCAATGAGAGCCTCCATGACTTTTGAAATAACTGGAAGAATAGTCACTGGACGGTAGTTAGTTGGGTCAAAACGACTGCCACCTTTGTAAATTGGAGTTATCATCCCATGCTTCCGTGCTGTAGGAACATGCATCTCGTCAAGGAAATGCTGGAAAAATCGCGCTATATATTCAGCCAACTCCACAGCTGCCACAGTCAGCGCCCTCTGCTGAGTATGATCCACACTCGGAGAGCTGTGTGGGCGCATAGACAACAGTTTCCACATCACAGTGTTTGCTGTAATGTGGACATGAGTAAGTCTTGTTGATGGGAGAATACTTTCCAATTGTTCACAATACCATGGGATACATCGAAAATTTGGCGTGTACTGCTTCTGCGGAACATTCGCTGCTTCCTTAGCGGTCCGTGTTGGTCCAACCGCTGTTAGAAGAAAAATCTTTTCCACCTTGCGAAGGGCATTTGCATGCTTGTACAGTAGTTTATGGTTCGAAATGAGTCGTGCTGTTAAAGTCTGATGGTACGCAACTCTGTCCTTGTGTACAAGTTGGATACAATGGTTACAGTGGACAACGTAGGTCTTTCAGAGGTTTGTGGTAGGGTCGATTTCGTGAGTATATCAGGTTGTGTTTCGAGTCTCCTTGCATTTTCGGATCCTTCTCCGTACATAAGAGACAATGTTACTCGAACGGATGGGCTCGGTTTCTGATGCATCAGAAACAAGGGTGTTAAACTTACTGATGTATCTTAGGTTAAAAAATTCAAGTCAGCTGTTTCAACTAGCCAAGCTAATGCGTCGTAGTGTTATGGCCTGTAGTGCTTGGGTACTCTCCCTGGGGTATTCTGGATAACAGATGTATACGAAGAGCAATGTTGCATGATTACTGCGACCCAGAGGAGTATCGACGACCACTCGATCATAAGTTCTTCGTTAGTGAATATCCAGTCTAGTATAGACGGTTTGTATGTCTTTCTGAACCTGGTGGGTGGTAGTGCGGCCCCAGCGCGGGGAAAGTTGCAACCAGTTTATGATATCTGCTATGAACTGTTCACTAGGAGCGACATGGGATTACAGAGGCATGGAGAACAATAAAATATGGAATAGAAGTACAGTGGAGCTTTCTAAACTCGCTTGGGATTTCTAAGTTAGTAGCATGCAAGATGTCGAGGCCAAAGCGACTAACTCGGTTTCGTGTACTAGATGAGACACGTAAGGATCCAACGAACAGGGGAGTTTGATGGGGTAAGTTGACGTACAGATGCACCGAGATTTTGCATTTCACAGAATACCAAAGTAGTCCACCGATGCTTAGTGTTTTTTTGGCTTACAAGCAGCTGGATAGTGGCCCAGATGGCGAATGGTGGCAACACCGAAACCCCCAGAATCGGGTTTGGATGGATGATTAGCAGCCTAGTGCGCGTTAGTAAGTAGTTACGTTAATATGAGAGTGACAGAATTCAGGCAGAATTCAGTACTAAGTAAGTGGCAGCTTAAGGCCATTATGCGAAGGATAAAAACGAAGACGAAGGCTGGCTAGCACTGTGCGGTAACACATTCCCCCTGCAGTACTGAACTTGTTTCAAGAACAGTAAGCGCCGTCGTGCAGGACTGTTCGCACGATTGAGTGGTAAATGCATAAGATCCTGACCAAAACAGAGGGCACAGGCCGCATGTTCAAACTGTATCAGGCTGAAGAGTTCACCGGTACACAAACTTAAGCAAAGTCTCACTCTTCAGTACACCGGTTCATAATGTTACCGGGACAGGACGTGATGCGGAAACTTATTGTCCAAAAAGTCGCCCAGTTTCCCAATCGCCTAGTAACGGCACCCATGCTCGAGAATAAAATAGAAAGATATCAGCAGTACACCGTTCCGACGCTTCACTGGCACGCAACCACCACCAGTCTCGCGTGAAATAAGAGTACTGCGTGGGTCGCCCAGTCGCCGGTGACATCCGGGTTGCAAGGTATATACTTTGTGCTTCCGGAAATTTACCGGCAACCAAGAATAACACTTATCCCTGTAAGGTTGCGCAGTATATGCCAATCCTAACTCGTAATGGACAGAATACTATTTTAGACTCGTGTGATGGAATGAGCCAATGGTGGGTAAATTGCAAGGCATTCCCTTCACGTACCAATGGGGTGGACAAAACAGCATAGACAGCTTACTCATTAGTTGAACTAACCGGGTTCAGATTTAGCATTGATCAAAGTGTCCAGGTAGGTTGCAGCCTCACAACACTTAATAATATCCGACGGAGTGTCTAGCTTCACTTCCAGCAGAGAATGCACATACTTTGCGTCCAAAGTCAAACGAGAAAGTAAGTTTTCCAAGACCTTGAGCAATCGATCGCGATTATCCACTGTAGTTTGAACCAATTGGTCACTGTCTCGAAGAGCCGCCATAGCTTCTTCAACATCCTAGAGAAGATGAGCGTACGCGCAAATTGTTACAACTCGCGAAGTTTAATCACATGAAAATAAGAAAAGTACACCCGCATGTGAGGATAAACCAGAAACTGCTCTGTGTGAAATACCTCGAAAAATTACTCTATAAAGTCATCGCGCCAAGAAGGAAAAATAAGCATATGCATATGGCTACGTTTTGTTGCTCACTTCAAAGGCCAATCGTGATTTCAGTAATGAGATGTAACGCTTCAAGCTAATCCGCTAAAGGTCCTAATAGAGATATAGGAACCCATTACCACAAAAACTGACTTCTGATTGGTAGGCATGAAGCAACTGCACTGCCGAACACAGTTCACAAAGGGTAACACAAAAGCATCAGTCTTTAAAAAGTTGGATTTGCAGTATCCGCCGAGTGGTTGAATTGCGACACCCAATCTCTATGTGACTTCGATTAACTTCGAAGTAAACCTCGGTTATTCCGATCACAAGGACCGTGTCCGAAATGGAGGTGTCTCGGTGTTGCCCTCCCTCCCCAACACTGACACTTCCAACCGGCTGCGCCCTATTGTGGACTAACCAGGTGAAGATATCCTGAGCTGAGGTGGAACTAGGGACCTGGTGGTTAACGGCTGAGGCTTTGATCACAATGCCACCACCTAATGAGTCCAAAGGAAAACGAAACAGGTGGTGGGGTGTCAGTGTTCGGAGGAACAATGCCGAAAACCTCCACCAGTCTATCCGTTCGCATATAAACAAACAGCCAGTTTCTGAAACCTCAGAGCGGATGGCCAGTGCAAGTCAGTGCACAAAAATCACCGAAAAATGTACAGCTGAAAAGTGATCAAACAGTGCATAGAATGATGGATCTGCCTTAAGTACCTTCAGGATGGAGCCTTCCTGCCTTCAATGAGGTATATACGAGTTCAACTTTAAATTTGACTATCTGCAAACTAAAAATGGACGTTTTCCAAACCAAATTGTACACATTGCATTCTAAGCAGAAGAGCAGATATCTGTTAGCAAGGAATCAGGAGTGAAGCGACCACATCGTGGTCAAGGGTGTAGGCTTGCCAGGTTGCGATTGCCATGGTACTGTTGGCGCAGTCCTGCTAGTAGTGGCATTTCTTGAGCATAATGAATCTTCTGAGCGCTTGAAGAACGTACCTATGGAAAGGTTGATCCCGTTCTCTCTTAGCCGCTGCCGCAGTTGCACCAAACCGTCCAAGGAATGCCGTTCAACCTTCACTACAACGCGCAACAGGACAACGGGAGTCAGCTTCTCCAAATTGTTTCTTTCGCATCAGACTGATGCGCCCTGGTTTCGCCAACTATACAGAGCAATCCCGATAGCCAACTGTACAGCGGTGCTCATGAAAAAGTGTGAAAGACTAAATGAAACAGTCCAGCAGATGACAAGCTGCAGGGTTGTGTAAGCGGAGTCTAACAAGACCGATCTTGTTCTACAGCAAACCCCTCAGAGCTCTGTCCCTAAGTCGAAGGGTAAAGTCAGTCTCGCTAACCTCCGAACGGCATCTGCGCCATCTAATCTGACACCAACCCACTAAAAGAGCAAGTCACATTAGGCGTGAGTGCTTTTGACTCATCCCTGGATTCCAGACCTGACGAGTGAGTCAAAACACCGGCAGCTCAAAGTCAGACAATATACGCATCGGTCACCGCGAAAAAAAACGCCAGTGGTGACACCCTTATGTACATTTACTGAGCCAAGCACGAACGATGCGACGGAGGTTTCACGATATTCTCGAGTGCCTGGTAACAATCCCAATTGCCAGCCATGACAATCAAACAGATATTAGCTAGCCAAAAACATAGTAGGTTAACTATCGTGTGAACTAATGTTCCGGAGCCAAATTCTGGCACAACAAAGGGCAGGTTGCTATACGATCGTAACCAGTAGAATTCTATCAGCGATGCGGTTGGTATTCGGGTTCAGTTCACAATGCTGAGAGCCGTAGCGCGTCACCCAACGGTGGACTTCGATTTCTTCGAGTAACACTGAACTCAAAATAGTATATAGATATCGTACTGCTCTCAGCAGTTTGTCTTCGCAACTAATAGAGCAGAGTACGCATACCACCAGGTATTCCTTGGAAAGGTCGGTCAAAGGAAAGGGACAACCTTTGGCGGACATTCTACAAACGAAAGCAAATAAACCATATTTGTTCGTGATGTTCCTGAACTACCGGATTCTGCTGATCACGAAGAGTAAACTCAGGATTCAGAACAGTGGTGCTGCATCAGCGAAGCACTATCATCAGACAACGTCATCATAAAATCAATGACGAGAATTCCTTCATCTCCAAACTAGAAGGGCTGCGGTGCTACACCACGAAGGAATGACAGAATTCCTATTGAATAGCTAGTTGAAGTATCGTTGCAGGTAAACAACCGAGAATAGACTAATAGCAGGTACAAGGCCACGAGTGAGCAGTACTTCATTTGAACATGCAATCTCAGTAAAACCTTTGCCACCACAGTCCTACAGTGATAGACACAATACCACTCGCGACACGTGATAGGACAGAGACTTGTGACAAAACATCGCGACCTGGAACGCTCTGTGCTACCATGCAGCCTAAACGAAATTCAAGAACTAACGACCCACGCAGAAACGATTAGCGGCCGACCACCGAACGGTCGGCTTAAAACTAAACACGAAGTCGACTTCTACCAACACACCTTTAACATCCAAAACACTATCCTGTTTGTATACTAACACCCAAGGCCTTTTTAGTAAGTTGGATGAACTTAGAGAAACTAAGTGTCGCAACCGGAAGACGTCATTAAGATTACGGAGACCTGGTTAAACCATAAGATAGCTAATTCCGAGATTAAATTGCCTGGCATATCGCTGCCTCGGAACGATAGCACTGGAAAGGGCGAAGGTCTGATTCTATAATACAAGGCTGTCTTCCGATGTGAAACTACTGATCACCCAGTAATCCACGTCCCTGATTCGCTATGGTGACGGCTGTGGATGTCGAACAAGCGTTGCGCTGCCCTCCGAGTATCAGGAAGACAGTCTGGGCGGCGATCACAAATCTGTTAGTAAAGAGAACATGGGCAAGTTATATCGTACATTACAATGCAATGGGACTCCTTTTGAATGGTCATTTCTTTTCAGCCACCTGCTTTACTGGCTGATCTAAAATGTTTGGACCACTCTTCGCTTAGCCGGTGTTTGCGCCCATAGTCTGAGCTCCATCGCTTCCAAATTGCTTGCCTCTGTCATCCTTCACAGACTGGCTGGCACTCGTGAAAGCCAGATTCGCGAAGAGCAAGCCGGGTTTCGTCGATGTCGTAGCTGCATTGACCACATCTTCACCTTGCGTCAGTTGTTGGAGCACCGTCACATATATTGGCGGCCCACCATTGTCGTGTTCCTCGATATCAAAGGTGCATTCGATTCGGTGGATAGACGTGCACTTTGGGACTGTCCACTCAGGAAAGGTGTACCTGAGAAATAAGTAAATATTATCCGATCATTATACGCGCGTAGCTCGGGCAGAGTAAGGGCTTTCGGCAAGTTGTCGTCACCCTTCAATATCTCCAGCGGTGTGAGACAAAGATGCCCACTGTCACCTTTCCTCTTCAACTTCGCTGTTGACGAAGTCATGGAAATCGCGTTCACAGGACACGACTTTGAAGGTGTGGAGCTACTCCCAGGAGAACGACTTCTTGACTCAGGGTATGCTGATGATATTGCCCTGATCTGTGACAGCTCACAAACGTGGCAAGCGGCACTGGACAGATTAGCACTAGCTGTCCGTCACTTCGGGCTTTGCTTCACACCCTCGAAGTGCAAAGCCTTTCTCCAAGATTGGTCTGGACCGCCTCCTACGCTGACCCTTGGTGGGGTTCAGCTAGAAGTCGTTCAAAAATTCAACTACCTGGGAAGTTGTATCAGCGCCCGTGGGATTGAAGATGAAATCACGAACCGTATAGCAAAAGCTCGGGGCGCTTTTGCTAACCTTCGCCACTTATGGCGCCGGCGCGACATCACTCTCACCCTGAAGGGTAGAGTGTACAATGCAGCAGTACGTTCGACCTTACTGTACGGTTGCGAAACCTGGCCTCTAAGATCGGCGGACATGAAGAGGCTAGTTACGTTCGACCACCGGTGCCTTCGTAATTTAGCTCACATTTGGTGGGAACACCGCGTGAGCAACGAGCGTGTTCGACGCCTTGTTTACGGTCCAGTAAGAGGAACTGAACCGCTCAGCACCGTTATTTCACGCATCAGGCTCCGATGGCTCGGCCACGTGTTACGCATGCCAGCACAACCGACTTCCGCGACGTGTGTCGTTTGCACGCCGGGGGTGTGGATGGAAGAAGAGGAGGGGTGGCCAAGCGATGACTTGGTCCAGAGGAATGAAGGCCCTCACTTCTGAGCTGGTCTCGGTTGGAGCGTCTCGGCTCCCTGGTTGGGGTCCGAAAGACGATGAACACGTTTGCTTGGACACACTTGCTGATATGGCTAGGAGCCGACCTCAGTGGCGTTCGTGCTGTGAGTTTATTTGTCCCACCCATCCCTTTTAGCCGCCCCCTCCAACCACGATCTCATTATTTAGCTTTATATAATTTTGCATAGTAATTTTTTTGATGCACAGTAGCCGGCTGGTAGCTTACCGGAACGATGCCCATCCGTTACCGGTAGCTCAGCCGGCTTGCACCAGTTGCTTCTTTTTTCTCCTTTTTTCTATGTCTTGCGGCACAGTAGCTGAGGTGTTCTCCGCCACTAGCTAACGTGTATGATGATGATGATGATGATGTTTGCGCCCATTGTTTATTCGTCCATCCCTATCTGTTTGGCATGCTCGGCCTATCAGCTGTCATCATGCGATAGGTACTGAAATCCAAACATATGTCCCCGGTGAGCAAGCTGTCTGACTTCGACCACGACAAAGACCGTGTCGGATTAAGCACTTGCTCCCCGATTCCGTTTTGTTCCCTTGACCGGGTAAAAGTGGTCGCTTTGTGGTCATGGTGCT